CCTCGCCCCCCGGGCCGCTGCTGCCCGGCGAGCGCGAAAACGCGTCAGGAGGGAGCTGCTGGGCCTACCCCACGCAGGGGTCGAAGCCTGACCTGTCCCGTCCCGTCCCCGATGCTTCTCCGATTTGGGATGGCCCTGGTGCTGGAGGCGACAGCTGGGTTGGTTGGTGGGGACACTGGTGCGGCAGCCAGAGCATCTGCCAACCAGCCTTGTGATTTAGCACAAAGGTAGCTCGCTACGCACCTTGCAGTTGCAAGGGAATTAGATTGCTTTGCCAAACTGCATAGGTACCACAGACCAGAAATACATGCATAGTTTTATTCAGAGCCTCGAGCGATCCTTTTGATTATTTTTCTCCTTAACATCACTCTCTCAGGCAAGCCTGCGGGGAAGGGACTTTACACGAGGAATTCACTCACTCCAACTAAGGTACCCTTTCTTGTTTTTGTTAACTAGAACGACGTGAGCTGCAGTTGATTATTTCACTGTTTACTATACAACATGATACAGTTCCCTAACTCTCATATAATGCTATATCAATTATAGACAGTTACTTTCCTCCTTTTTCTTCTCTAATTTGCTAAATTTTATCTGGACACACACTGAAACAGGATAGGCTGTGGTTCCCCCCGACCCCCCCTTCTCTTAAATCAACCAGAACACACACAGTGAAAGGAATAACTGCTCTGAGGTTTGTTATTTTGTTAAACAACTGTTTCCCAGCTTGTCACACATTCCATTAGACACAGTCTAGGACCAACTTTTAGAAGCCAGAAGTGGAAAAAGAATAAGTTAGTAGTGTATCATTTATTTGAGTTAGGTTACAATACACAGACAAGTAGGACGCTGAAGTTAACAGATTATTTTTGCATCTGCAGATAACATGAGTGACATTCCATATACCAGCAATGTAGTAGTAAAGGAGAAGTTGTTTGCATAAATACAGACACTGGAATACATGTAGTTTCACACTTTTAACAGCAGTATGTTACAACTTTACACTTTAAATTACTAACACCAGAGTTTGAGTAACATTGTTTATACATCAGCAGCGGTCCCACTATTCAGGATACAATCAGACTGAAGATGAGAACACAGTAAACAAATTGAAAAACAACCAACAACAAAAAAAGCCCAAGTCATGGCTTATGGGAATAAAGGGTACTTTCCCCTTCATTGGGAAAAGTTACAGCTTGTTACCAGACTAACGGATCTTCCACAAGTTCAGGAAGACTGCACCTATGAGCAAAACTCTCCTCCCAAAACCCTTAAAATCTTTTCTGGAAACAAAATGAAACTAGTAGAAAAAAATAAAAGTGTAAGAGGCAGTATTAAATATAGCAGATAACATATGGAATATCACAAGTTTTGGTTTTTATTAGATTTTCTATTCTTGTAACAGTTGCTTTGCACAGTTTGACCAGGCAGCTCAATGTCTATGTACCAGTGGCCTTTATACATCAAAGTTCATTTGTGGCTGTCCTCTGTGCAGGCTTCCGTCTTCTTGAAGCGACATTCTGAGGCAATATTACAGATTCTTACATAGTCATGTGCTCTGGTAAAACATAGGATATGTCATCCCACGGGTGACGGTACAGACCTTGCTTCAATCTCTTCTGATCCAGGTAGTGTCCTAAAACAAAAGTGGTTTATGTTACAAAATTTCTGCTCCTCCTCCTAGATATCTGTATTCCTACAACTAGCATTTTAGACCGAGTCCTCAGAGGTTCACATGTCTCATGTTCATGGTGGCAGAGCATCCCCTAGTAGGAGGGAAGGGGCAGAAAGACGGCAAACTTACCAATGAATCCCATACTCCTGCCTAGTACAAAGATGCCATTAAGAGCTCCTATATCAATATATTCATCTGCTTCTTCCCTGCAAGAGAAGAGAAATTAAGTAGTTCCTCATAGTGATCTATTTAAGGAATCAATCTTAGAAAGGCTATGAGTCTGCTTTAATGCCAGCAGCAACACCAAATTCATGTGAAAGCCTCCTTCCCCCAAGTCCAGGCTACATTTCCTTCACACTGTCCTTCTGAAATCCTGGCCCCACATGGGCTGGCAGTATGGCTCCCATCACTTTTATAGGCACCGTGACCTAAGATAAACAGCCCACTACCTACTTACCGTGTGAAAGAGCCACAATTCCTGAGTACGTCAACAAAGGCAACTCCAATAAAGCCATCTACATTCAGGATAAGATTTGGTTTCTGCAGGAAATGAAAACACACCCCAATAAAGATGTTAACAGTGGCAAATGATGTTCACCTGGCATCTTCCATCTTCAAGGGTAATTTGAGGGTTGCCCATAATTGTGGGCACACAAGCCTAGCGATAGAAAAGGCTGTTCAGCAAGAGCCATGCTTAATGCAAATGATGGAAAAACAGCCCCAAACAAAGGGCCTGCATTTAGTTCAAACCACAGAGATTATCTGCCACAGCCCATCATGTGTGCTAGCTCTGCCTCAGATTTAAAGACTACAGCAGTTCCAGATAACTGTGGACAACACAGATAATGGGTTTTGGTTTGTTCAGCGTTTTCCTAGTGTCCAACAAATGTCTTCAGCCTTACCAAACTGTAGTTGTACTTGGCCCAAATTCTACCACAGAAAAACAAAACCCCAGCTGTAATTTATGAAGCACTGTAATTAAAATACAGTATTAACCCCATGTCACATGTCCCCCAGTAAGAAAAAGTGCTCAAGAGGAAATAAATACTAGTGCATTTCACCTTAGAAGTTGTAATTTTTTCTACTTCAAGTGCATAGTCCAACAGTGGGGTAGCAGGGAAATGCTGCTTCACGTAGTCTTTGAGAATCTGAACTCTCATGTCTGGGTTATTTATCTGCAAGTTAAGAACACACTACAGTCACTGATGTTCCCTCTTACAAAGGTACTTGCCATAAGCTTTACTATTTGTAGGTTTAGGATTTATAACTCCTGAGAATTTGGTCATTAGCTGCCTCTGAAAGTTGCTAATTTTCCTTCCTTCGTTTTTCTTCCTCTCCCCCACCCCTCTAAAAACAAACCAACCAACCCAAAACAAACCTCGGGTGTATACTAATGCAGTTCTCTTACCGATTTGACTCTGTGTCCAATGCCCATGATCAGTTTCCCTTCTTTCTTCATCTTATTCACAAACTCCATAGGGATAATCCCACTGTCGAAGGCTTTGCTGAACATTTTAGCTGCAGCATCCAGTGCTCCACCAAACCGGTCACCCTGGGTGCAATACACAAAGGGAATTATAGCAAAGGACTCCACGGTTAAGGTACAAAACAAGCACAAGATTATCTTCCCCATCTGCCTTGCTTATCAATGTGGCATTCATGAAATTAAAGTCAGGCAGGCACCTGAGATAAAGCATCTGTTTATAACTCAACACAAGTGTCAATATGTAGCCAATGCATCTCCACTAGAGACAGAGTGTAGGGGGAAATGCAATCTAAAGTCTGTTTTATTCACATTTTTACTTGTCAGTATTGGAAGAGACTAGGCAACCATATAGGGACAATGCTGACAGCAATTTGGCTTCTACAAAATATTTCTAGACTCAAGTGAGAGACATCAAAATAGTCTTGCTTACTAGAAAAATGGACTAGGTTTTAAACCTAGAGCATCAAGCTATTAGAGTTGAATTCAGCAGAAATTCAAAGTGTGAGTGAACAGACACAACCTGTCCGTGGCTCCGCAGCCAATCTACATCTTAAATTGATAGTAATAAAACCTGGACAGAGTAATGAGTAGCAAAGCAAAATCTTCTGGAGATTAATTACTTACAATAGTAAGAAGGCCTGAAGTGAGACTTGAGACAAGATCTTTTCCAGCTCTTGCACAGACAATGGTGTTGTGGGCTCCAGATACAGCAGGCCCATGATCTGCTGTTACCATCAAACACATCTCAATGAACTGGCAGGCATACTTCGGTAACCTGAGCAAGGAAGAGACTGAAGTCATTTATTGTAAAGAAAACTGAACAACAAGACACTTGGTGTTATACTGGACAGTGACTTTTGTTTTAGGTGTATGCTTGAAAGAAGTAGAACAGAGAAAGGGAGCTGTAGGGTCACAATACCCATCAGCACATTCTAATATCTTTCTCAGAGATCAGATTTTTATTCTGTTTCCACAGGGGCTGCTTAGCTCAGACCTGAGGGTCAGTTTTGTAGCTGAGTGTGTGCAAACTCAGCCTGGCTGATCAGTAAGCTCTGTGGGTCCCCTTGAGGAGAGCCACGAGGCTATGCTACAGTTCTGTTCGTCGTCTTCTGCTAAGCCAGAGATTCCAGCTAGTGCCAAGAGTGCCTCTAATGAAAGGATGATCAGATGAAGGCAGCAAACTTCTGCCATTCAGAAGGTTCCCTGCAGGCTGGTTAGCAAATGTTTGTAAACTCCCCAATCTCTCCAGAGTTGAGGTGACAATTGCAATAAGCAAGTAGTCAGAGAGTGTGAAACAGGCCTAGAATAGAGAAATTTCCTCAATGCACCACAAAACTTGTGGAAGACTTCATCCCAAGACTAAAACATACTGTATGAAGCCTTGAAATGCTGATGTGGTCTCAGAGGAGGGGATAAGGAGATGGTGTTTCCAATGAATCTACGTTCACGAAGGAATCCTGGAGTTACTTTTGTGCTTAGAAATCTATTAATAAACAAGCAAAACTTCAAGCCAAAGAATTTGGGAGCTTTCACAAAAAGCTGCCTCACCTCCTTTGAAACCAGAGCAGGCCCAGAACCCCGCCAATTCCCATCTCTTCTTTGAAGACCTCAGTGATTGGCATCCCAGCATAAATCAGTTCCTGACCTCTCTCGTCACAGATGCTCGTCATAAAGGAAGCCGGTTTGCGGATCAGACCCAGCTCCTGAAATCACAGCATAAAGATGGGATTTTAAACATTCCATGTTAGAAGCAAGGGGCAGTAGGAGGCAGAGTGGTTAAACAATGCCTCAGAGCGGCTTCCACAGCCTAGAACCAGCATAGCCAGTGAGCTCACAGATAACACTATAAAGTGCGAGATAAAACCCCAAGGCAACACCATTATCACCATAAGTGTCCAGAATCAGCAAACATCCTGTCTGGTTTTAAGGAACCAAAAAGCAGGTAAAACAGCACAGCTCACCCTTGCCCAGGAGTAATCCATTGGCACAGTGGGAGGAGGCACTTCCTCAGCTGGTTCAATCACTCTTTTGGCCACAA